AGAGTGTCTTCCCAGTAGTCTAAAATTGGAGCATCTGTATAATGTTTTCAGGCTACCTGGGCTAGAAGAGCGCCAGAAAGCTGCATGAAGGATTCCTGGACATTTACTTACAAACTACTGAAACTAGATTCACAAATGTTTCTGTAAGCCTACAGAAAGGCTTATGCATCCTTCATACCAGTAACTGACCAAGTGCCACAGCTTATGCCTGCATTTCAAAAGGGCATTAGATTTCCAGACTGAGCAGCCTTGCAACAGTCCACCTGGCATTTCCTGTATAATTTGTTTTTTTCCTCTTCAGTCTTATTCAATTAAAATCAAGACTATGTGGATTCAGCTATGAATCAATGTAAAAATGATAAGCAACTTAAGACTTAATGTACAGCCATAAAACAGAATGGAAAAAAAAAATGGTTAAAGCTCTATACAGTCAGTTAAGGCTTTAATTACTGCATACTGGGAACCACAGCATAGACTAATGCTAGCCATCTCATTTTTAAAAGTAATGTAAAAGTCAGCCTTAGAAGAAAATGTACATCTGCAAATTCTGAGGAAACCACCTTGGTTAAAAAAACCACAATTCTGGCTTCACTGGCAGAAGAAAGCCTAACACAGAGTTGTATTTTACGCGCAGGCTGCATACAAGTACTTGTAAAGCCATGCGCAATATTATGTTTAGTCTTCCTTTGCATGAACATGAATTCAAATCATTGCAACGGCTTTAAATACGTAAGTGATACTTCACACATTTTAAAATTATTAGTTTAATAACTAAAAATACTGATTTCCACATCTAGAGTGTGTCCTGTGCACTTTTAATTGACAAATTCCTGAAACCACCAAGATAATTTTGACCGAGAAACGATTTACAGAAATACTGCCATGAAATGAATCTGAAGCTTTGATTCAAAACACACAGATTAGATATACTTCCACTAGATTCTTAAATATATATATAAAGTTTTCCTTACTCTATTAAATGTAAATTAAACCACTGATAGCAATCATTGTAAACTATTAAGGAACTATTTAGAAGCAATAGTAGAAATACAGAAAAAAATTCCCCCAAAGGCAGATGGATTTTGTCTTTTAAGATCTAATGTTTTTACATAATCTAGGATGCTAAGACTCCATAAGCAGTATTAAGTTTTCAATGCAGTATACAAAAATATCTAACATAACTTTTCTCAAACTTACTAAGAACAAAAAAGTGGTTCGATTTCTACTTAATTGGAATTTTTCCTGGAATTATACCAGGAAAATTTAGTAAATGTGAAGACTCAATTTATTTATCATCACCAAGAGGCTTTTATTTCTGCCATTTATTATACTTATTTGTACTGTTTAGAACAAGGTCTACTCAAACAAACCAGGTTAAAAGCTTCTGTCTGATAAAGCTTACCACAACACACACTGAGAGTTATAATAACATGCTGCTTTTTAACATGGTTAACAGATCTCATAAGATACTCAGACTGTATTTGGTGTCTCTAAATATACCAGAATGCAATGAAAAAAATCCAAACCAGCCAACAATTTAATTATATATCACTACATACAGAAGAGGCCAATGTTGCCTAAATTTGTGTTATGAATTAGTGTTACATTTATTAAAGCCACAGAACAAGTCAGTGGCAGAGCGCTTCAAGCACTCAATTCTGTCTAGTCCACACTGCATTGTCACTAATTTACAATATCAAAAGAGCAGAACAAGCATCAGATGTTTAATTTATGTAAGTTTAAACTGACTCACAGTGTCGTCCTTTGACAAGGTTAAAAACAACAGTCTATGACAGAAATACGAAATTAAATTTAAAGTAGTTAGTCAGTCTTCAGGAAAAATATGGCCTCTTCCTTCTATAG